AACAATCTGATGTTTTCGGAGATATCTCCCACGCTTTGAATTTTGACGTTTGTTAATTCATGTCAGTGAATGTATTCGTGTGCGAAAATGTACGCAAAAACTAACGGTCGTAGAAAAAGTATAGTATACAACACGTTCGGTAAACTTTTTAACTCACTCGTTTATTAAACACTCGCTCCGCTCGTGTCAAATAAACTCGTGAGTCAAATTCCGTTTACCGCACTTGTTGCATAATATAATATTATATGCCAACCTATATCTTGAGCGAACTTATATTGTTTTTGAGAAAATGTGACGGTAGTTGAAAAACTATGGCATACAACACGTTGATAAATTTTTTCAGTTATTAGTTTGTTAAACACCCGCTCCGCTCAAATTTGTTGCATAAAAAACTATTGGCAAAGCTCTCTCTCTATAGCGACAGTCGGAATATACACAGTGTTACATGGCGATAAGTCAAACTGTTGAACCAAATTCAAGCATAAAAGTACATTTAAAGATGTATCCCAAAAATGATAAACAAGGTACCAAATTTTTGGAGAAAAAAATATTCTTTTTATTACTTACTATCTCAAAAATCCTCTTGGCGATTCTTATAGCATTTTTAATAAGAGACTGATTTATCACTTTATTGCAGATGAACTATTCAAAAAAAAAACATTTTAGTTGACATTCTAATATCCTCAAACGCAGACATTATTTATTTTAACTTCGTCAGTTAAACTCTCCCTCCATCTGTGCCAACAGCAACATGTGACTAAAATAGCGTTCATCAAACTTGTTGCTTATACATGATGTTTCAAAACAAATACGAAAAACTTACTATATTTATATTACAGAAGTATTAGTATTATAAAAACATACGTTTTTTATATTTTTTTAAATAATTTAGTTGGGTGCTCTCAAACAGTTGTATTTTGAACCAACATTTATTTTCTCAACAATAATAAATTTTATTAATATACATTTCTGAAACTAATTAATCTATTTACGCATAAACAATTAATAAATACCTTTTTTAAATAAAAAAAAAAGAAAGCAAATATTCAAGACGCCAACCAAACAAACATACAGTATAGAAAATTGCCTTGCCATTTAATACATGCATGTACATAACTAACTAACTAACCAAAACTGTTATTAATGACCCAATAAATGATTAGATAATAAATTTTTGATTAAATTTAAATTTACTGAACATCTTTTTTATCGCGCAATGAATTGTTTTAGATTGTATTTTTTTATTTGGGAATGGCAAGTAGTCCAAAAAATGGTCGAATAAATTAATTAAATTATTTTTTTATAGTTATTTTTCCTTACATTGAATTAATATATATAATATAGGCTGAATGTCCAATTTTTTAACAATATGTAGACAATGGTTGCACTTCCGGTTTGAGCGGAAATGACAGTAACTTTCGAATTTTGTGACCATCATAAATACTATTTATCGGGTCATCTGCGAAAAAATATAAATGAAACTTTTCTTTACTTGTCTAATGGCAAATACTATTTAATGTTGTGAACTAATATTTTTTTAGAATAACCTAGTTTTTTCAGGTAGCACCCTAATGGGAACAAACACTTTTTAAAAGCGGTACTTTTTTTTGCAACATTTTGACACCAAAATTTTCAAAATCCGTTAAAATTAAGCTCACAGGAAAGAAAATCCCAGATAAGTAAATATATTTTTATAAAAACAAAATATTACGACGTTTTCTGCATTCCCCGTATATCAGAAACATATGAACTTTTTCTCTATTTTAAAATTCATTATTGTTTTCCATGATAATCCAAACAAACTGTCAGAATTTTCAATCATGCCGACTTGATGATGAATGGAAGTAAAGTCTATGAGCTTTTTTTTAACGGATTTTGAAAATTTTGGTGTTGATGTTGCAAAAAAAATACTACACCATTTTCAAACTCGCCATCTATTGAAATTTGAATTCCTTTTACGGAAAAAGACATCGCGATTGTCAGCTAAACTTTTTTTTGCATCCTCCGGGTATTGCTTCACACGTCAATCTCCATAACCGAAATCTAGCGGCTCGGCATTCGTCGCGACAGTGTTTTGTTTTCAGGAGCCGATTGAATCCGACAATGGATAAATGGAGATTTAATGCGCGCCGCGTCCCAAATTTCCAGGAAAGCGTTTCGTAGCCATCTTCAGCGGAAAAAATACTCGCGGCGTTTCCTTGCCCGTTTTCTCCTTTTTTCGTGTATCCGGAAAAAACTGTTTTGGTTAGATTACTAATTGTTCGTTGCGTAAAAGGATAAGTTTCCAAATATACCCGGGAAATTTTACTGCGCGAAAGTTGAAATTAAAAAATTGTTTCCCGTCCCTCGCTCCCCCCGGGGCTCGGAAACTCGCCCTAACTCGGCATTTGTTTTTCGATGCCCTTGTGGTTTATTTAAGGCGCATTTTTAAATTGAAATTTGTGAAATAAGTTGGCATCGGAATGGAGACCAAATGTAATTTGCGTAAAAAGAGAGGAAAGCCTCACTCTAATAAGTAATATAAAACTTAAGGTGGTTTGCCGTTGTGTCAAATGCCAATCATTAGGCAGATATGTCGAATAATTATGTTTTTATTTTTTATCTTAAAAACGAAAATAGAACAATAAAATATTAGGGAAGTGTTATTATTAGTGAGACTGAGCGACAACTTTTCAGACTCCACCTGAAACTGAGCAAAGAGATCCATCAGTTGCTGTGGGACCGCATAGAATTATTAACCTCATGGTACACTGAGAAAGACAAGGACATCACGTAAAAAAAAACTGTGGAAGAAATTAGAAATCCTTCAGTCAAATACAAACCGAAGCAGTACAGTTCGTAATATTTCAGCACACCATCTTTCCGATACAGAAGTCAGCGTACTGAATAAGGGATTTAACTATGCAATAGCTCCAAAAAGAGTACCCGTCGAAGAGATCGTTTCCCACGTCGAAGCAAGTCTTTCTATCATAGACGAACAAGATGCGAAGTTAATTAGGCAAGATGTCGCCAGAGTCTTAAGACAGACAAACCACCGCAACCAAACTTAAGCAAAGAAGAAATGCAAGCCTTAAAGAATCTAAACAAAAACGAAAATATTATAATAATGTTAGCAGACAAAGGAAATGCCACTGTCGTCTTGAATACGTCGGACTATAATGCACAATTGAGGATACTTTGAACGACCCAATATACAAACTAGTCACCAGAGATCCCACGACATATTTGGAAAAACAATTAAGTCCAAAATTCTCGACTCATCAATAAACGAGGATACAAAGAAGAAACTTATTCCGAGGGAAAAATCGAGTCGTTGCCCAAAATTCTACGGGCTTCCAAAGATCCATAAGGACGGGGTTCCCCTGCGTTCAATCGTAAGCGCCTTTAACTCACCATTATGCAAGCTGGAAAAACATCTAGCCAGTGCGCTTCAGCCCATAGTGGAAAAGGCAGATTCCTATGTTAAAAATTCAGAACATTTCACTCAGATTTTAGGTTCTCTCAAGATGGACAAGGACGACATTATAGCAAGTTTCGATGTCAAATCCCTCTACCCGAGAATTCCATTAGAAGAGGCACTCTTGCTTATAGAATAAAACGAAGATCTTCCGCCGTACATAATGGATCTGTCAAGACATTGCCTGAAAAATGCTTACTTTATGTACAACGGGAAAATTTACCGACATGATTTACTTCGAAAAGAAAGCAATAGAGAAGGCAAATCTGAAGCCAAAACTATGGACAAGATACGTTGATGACGTATTTGTTGTATGGCCTATTGGCAAAGAGGAGCTTTTGAAATTACTAGAACATTTGAATCTGAAACGCGACAGTTCGGGGGTCGGAGCCACCTCCCCTCCCGCACAAGCCGCACCGTTATCACCTCCGGCGCAGGGTATAAATACCGCACGCATCGCCGATAACTTCCCAGTGTTCGAAGTGTTTTCGGAGCACGAGCATTGAAGATGCCAAGTGAGATCTTGGCGAAACGTCTACAGGATTCCTGTCGGAGTGGTGCTATTTGCAATTGGCATATTCTGGAGGTTGGATAGTAAGGGGTTCATAATTGTCGGTAGATATTTTTCTTTTTCATTATTAAACAGTGAAGAATTGGTAATAACTGCTTTGGCATATAGATTTGTTTGGATCCCAAATTTTGACAGGTCTCAAAAATAAATGGCCGTACCGCGTCACACTAATATAGGGGGTATGAAAAATGTGCAACATACAGACAACGGAATCTGCTGAAACGTTTCCAAAAGAAATCTGTTGTTTTTGGAACTAGATAATTTTATACTTTTTACAACATTTGACATAAAAAAGTGACAAAGGGGGGTTTGTCTAATTGTAACACAAATTTGTATGAAGCAACCATCGTCTCTTCATAAACTATGAAAGATCTCGAGTGAGGACTAGTGACTTTCAACGTTCAACCTATGAAAGGTAAAAATTATTATATTATATAAAATATTAATAATAATAAGACCTCTATAGATTATGAAATCATATTATTAATACAAGAAAAAATGTTTTAACATAGCTTTGATAGCTTTTATTAAATACATCATATACATTTATTATATTTATTTATTAATAATTTATTTTGTAATCTACCTCAAATAAGTAAAGTCATGAAAAGATTACGAATTAGATAACGAGTGTCGATCTAAAAGTGACTATGTTCTTTAGGGAATCACATGAGATTGTGAACAAGTCCAGGTGTAAGCAGGTTTACAGCTCTCAGCATACGAAGCAGAGGAGAATTTTGGGAATTATTGGTGTTTCTAAAGGAATAATAAATAAAGGCATGGTTCTAAATTGTCGAGATGCTACATTAAATCGAATTCCTGCTAATATCTCAGAGGAGTCCACACGTCCATTTAAAATTTTATGCAAGTAAAGAATATTAGTTTGTTTGCTTGTCGTTGTTTAATATGATATAATTAAATACGATGGGTTATGATTTATAATGTGATACGGTGGTTAAATTTGTAACTTACGGGCAAATTCGGTCCAAATCCGTTTTGCTTGATACGAAGGTTAGACCCGAATCAAGTACAGAAAGTGGCTTCGAACACTGCATTAATTCTTCGGCACTGCAACGCTCATTGGCTCTCACTTTCGAAGTAACGACTGGAAAAGATAAAAAAATTTGTTTAAGTTCATTGGTTGAAAATTTTTTGGAAAGGAAATTGAAAAGCGTGAAGCCCAAGATCAAAAAATGTTTTTAGTCCCTGTTCTGTATTTCACTTTAATGTCAAAAAAAAATATTTTTCTAGTTAGGGAACTGAATATTTGAAGCCATTTTTAGCACCCTTAATAACTATAAAAATCGCAAAAGTTTTCAGTCGAATTCTCATTACCGCCAAGCACGACACTCGATGACCTTGTCACATGCGATTCCGTAGTAAAATATGTCAAAATCCGGAACGCGACCAGAGAAAATTTCGATTCCACCAATATATAGCGTCTTGAAAATCATATTTCGTGGCCTATTGGTACCGTAATTGTTAAAATTGTGTACAGGTGTGCGGTTTATGTAATTTCGGCGCAAGAGTATATAATTTGTAAAAGCTTTCGGCACGCGAGCCGTTAGAATTAGGTCTATCGATCAAATAATTATCTACTTGTGTCGGCGAATACGATACACAAAAACGTTTCGTGAATTTCGCGGGCTGCGCAAATCATCGGTTTCATTCGAACATAAAAAGTTCAATCTTCTTAAGGGTTCGGGTAGTGGAAACTAGTGCATATAGGGTGGCACAACAACGTGATAAAATACAATATCTGCTTTAAGAAGATATTTTTTGAAAAAAATCAATTTATACAGTACACAACACCTATATAGATCTTATTTGTCAGATCGAACTTTCGGTATCTATCTACTTTACCTACGTGCCTATCGAACCCAGTTTTTCTATATTTGCTTTTATTCATCATTGCCAATCAATTGAAAGAAATTTGAAACATATAATACCCTGTTTAGTTAAAAATAGGTTTTGTTACTATGAAATTGTTTTAGAAAACTGTATAATTGAAGATAGTTTTAAAATGTACTAATCTATAAATTTTTAATTTTTGAAAATTTAGTTTTCATGTTGAAAAATTTTTAGACAGTTTTTTATAAAAAAAATAAAGTAAAACATTATTGCAGACTGGGGCAGAAAATAAAATTCTAAATTGCTAAATTGTTGGTATTATTTTTTTTACAGTGTCCTCGATTTTAAATATCGATTTATTCTACTAAAAGTGGCAAGATTTGCTCTTCTTCCTTAATTATTTCTTTGTTTTGTTGTCTCTTTGGTTTAAATAATATTTGGTGTTATTAAAAGGTTTCTTGTATATCGAGCTGTTGAAGTTTTTTTTTTTTTGAAATTTCAAAAAAACACTTTAATTAAATATTATCAAGATTTATAATGAATGTGGGCAGTATGCTCACCGAAAATAAGGTGTCGTCAAAACTATCTTATAAGAACAAACAGCTGCGTTACGCAATCATCTCTTGACTCTACGTTACTGAATTAATTGCTATTCGAATTTATTGTTGAATCAAAAACCTGCTCTACCCTTCTCAATGGAACAGTATGTATGTGCGGAACAATTCCCCCGGAATATTTACAAATACTGTTTGCCTTTTAGATATATTTGAATCTGAGGCGATCCCCCCACTGTAATATCGACATATTGAAACGAAGTCTTCAGGCAATCCCGCCTTATCACGTCCAAACGTTTGCGTACCCTCTCGGATTCTCTTTACAGAATTTTCGTTCAGTGGAACTGCGTTGGTCGGGTTTGATCTCAATTTATAACTCTTCCGTGATTTCAAGGGGAGATTGAGCCAATTAAAGCGAAGATGGGTTTAGTTTTCGCTTCGCATTTTATCGCGATTTGAAAACCGAATATTTGAAATAGAATTTCGCTTAGAAAGGTAACGCCGTTTTTGATTGCTAGTAACTTTTCTGACAATGAACGTATTTTTATGAGTATTTTCACCTTTAAATGGTAAACCTTGGACCAGGCAGCTAAAATGTGAAAACAAAACTGACGATTTTTGTTTGGCGCGCACCCGGTATAAACCTGAAAACTTGAAGACATCTATTTTTCGATTTGACTTGAAAATCCCAACGTAAATTTTGAGAGCGTTGCACAATTTAAACAAAATTTTCGTTATAGAATTTTATCCAAATATACAATTTGTGAATAGAGTGCTAATACTTACTCTTAATTTTTCAGCTGCAGGGTGTTAAAGTTTTTATCACTTTTTTTTCTATCCGAAGCTTCAATGTCATGCCTACGTGGACGTCACTGGTGAAAGTGGAAGCAGTCTCAATGAACTTAATTTTTTTTTGTGGTTTTTATGTTACGCGAAACATTACGAAATAGTTAAGGTGGACAAAAAAAAATATTCAGTTCAAATCCTCTAAGGAAAAGTGCCCCTTATAATTCCATAATGATATCCGGAATGATATGGAAATTATTCACCATCCTGTAGTTTCAAAAAGTAAGAATATTAATTTTATTAGATGATGTATCTAAGAATCTATAAAATTTTAAATCGAAACTTGCTTTTATTGTACATATACAAAGACATATACCTACAAAGCCACCCTTTTTTAAATGGGCCAATACGATAAAATTATAAAAACGATTTCTCTATGTTGTATTATTTCAAATATCAACACGGGACACTAAAATAAAGTCATCAAGAAATGGAACCCAACAAACGTCACTTTTGACATAAAATTCAAAATATCTCAGAAACGGTAAGACTCAGTATAAAGTGACATTACGATAATAAACCTACCTACGCGTAATCTTGAAAAGTTAGAAAAAGAACTAATATAATTGATGTAGGGTTTTATACCTGTTATCTTTTGTCAGTTATTAAATGGAATACCGTGAGTTGCAATTCTATCAAAATGACATTAACTTGCATTGTTTAAAATATAACACCCAGTATATTTTAATTTATTTGAAAAGATTTTTTCTTGCTGATTTCATTGCCTAAAATCTCATTTGACAAATAAACTCGTGAGACAAATGCCGTCTACCGCACTTGTTGCATAATATATTATTAAGAAATGGCCGATAACAATAAACTTTTGATTGTAATTTTTCCAAATCCGTTTTAGTAATTTCAACTAAATTTTAAACGTGATTATTGGAAAAGCGGCTAAAGATAATGTAGGCAAATGTTATATTCTTGAAATCAGGAAGAAGCATTTTTTTTTCATATAAATTAAAATATGCTTGCTTCTATATTAAAAACTTTAAATAATTTTGTACATAAAGTTTTGTTGTAACCAATCAACCAACACCAACCAAAACTAATCAAAACTGTTAGAACTGTTCATAATTTTATTTGTTTCCATAACCTCCCTATAAAATTTCCCAAAAAAACCCCGATTAAATTTGCAGACATTCGCGCCCCCTTCTTGTCTTCTTAAATATAAATGCAAATGTCAACGCTTTACGGACCGTTGCCGAAAAGGGCGCGTGACCATAACCGGTAATGATTTCCTGTTCAACTAAAAAAGTAATGTCCCAATTTGTGGCCGCGTGTAGCAAAAGGCGAATAGAATGTGAAAAGGACTCTCAATTAGCCAAAGAAAGGCCAGAAAACTCGGCGTAATAAAACGAAAATTAGGCAATATTTTCCGTCAATTTTTCCCATAAGCGGCACGGTATTAATTTTCTCTGTGTGCGAACGAGAAAGGGACCAAGTTTCCGTGACATTTATAAAAGAATCAAGCAGGGATGTACGTTATAAATTTACTGGTAGCGCGTGAGTATTACTTCAAAGGTAATCAAATAAAATTAGGAGTCTTACAAAACGCCTTTTAACGACTTGATTTCATTTGATTTTTTTATCATTTTGACGTTACTATGAATTCCCTCCTTCCGCTTTTCGCTAACGAACGCAATATCGAGTAAGATTATTTGCTAAAAGATTTGATTACGGTGGCGTCGGAAAGACTGGATTGCTAAAAGCATTCGCAAGTTTCTTAATTCATCATATTTTATTAAATTAAACTACCTACATAAATTTTATCAGTATAAATAGATTCTGCTTTTCATTTCAATGGTACAGCGAGGAGTAAATTCATCAAATCCCATGTGCTGTACTGCAATTTTTTAGTTTGATTCGAAGCTGTTAAATCATTAATTTTCAGTACACCTTTCACACATGACATGTTTCTTAATTGTTTCTTCAAGTTCCTGCACATGTTGTGTGTCCACTGTTCTAGCTTTAGATACTTCTAAAATCGGAGAGTGTTGTCTTTTTTGGTTCTTGCAAAAGATTTTTTTAAGATTGTTTTTATTCCGGTATTTTGACCTAATAAAGTTCTGGATTTAAGTAGCAAATACATTCATTTAGTTTGCTAAAAACATGTTTATCTTTAAGAGTTGATGCGTTTTTGTAGATGTTTTCGCAAGGAGTGTGGTGTGGTATTGCTTTATTTGCTTTGCTACTTATGAAAAAGCATGGTTTAATGGATTCACTTAATTAAAATATTTTTATTAATTATATTAATGCCTGTTATTTAATTTAAGTTGTGTGATATGGTCGGTCCAAGCTATTGTCTCTTTTCTCAGCAACTTAGTGTTCAATTTATAGGCTTTTAAATATCGGTTGTGTTATTGTTTGGTGTATTAGTATTTCTGAACTATACCTTTACCACGATTAATCGCTAGTTATTAATGGCAATATAGAGTATGTAGGTAGAGAATAAGTGATAACAAATATTATTATAAATATATTTGATAAAGTAATTGAAGTTATCAAATCACATCATCTTGTCTACAGTTTTAAAATTATATTGAGCGATTACCTGATGTTGCATGGTTGGGTGGAAAAGGTACAAGAAAAGCTGCCGACATTTCTTATGTATGGAATCCGGAAGTGCGAAGGAATATCCTGGTAGTGGCATAATGAGTTTCTTATTCTCAGTAAAAATCGCCTACAGCACGGATGAATATGAGATTTAAGTGTTTCATACCCGTCCCATAAGACATTAGATTTTAATACTGAAACGGAGTATCCTTTCCTGGCACATATTGTATTTTGTTGCTTTTAGCTCCCGTTTGTATTGTTTAACATTGTGCGTTTTAGTTTGTATTTTCCTTTCAAA